GCGCGCGCGTGTGTATGGTATAATTTATTAACTTTATATTTATAAATAAAAAATGATTATAATCTCGATATTTTAGTACTTGGATTTCTATCTCAAAATAATCTCAGAAATCTATCTTTAAACGTTGTTACAGATTTTATCAGATACTCTATATACGTATGTATATATGTATGTACAATATATATATGTGCTTTCAGCCAGGATGTTACATACAAGTTTGTATCGCTCGTGTTAGCAGAGAAATTTTCAAGGCATTCGCTATAATAGAAAATAAACCATTAATAGTGGTCGGTTTACTTCCATATGAACATAAAATGTCTCTTTTAAACGTCATATTGAAACATTCGAGCAATTACACGCATCCAATCAAATCAAAGGAAAGATTGATATTTCAGTGTGGATTTAGACGATTTACGACATGTCCAATATTCAGCCAACATACGAATAGCACTAAGCATAAGGTAAGTTGATGCACTTTTATCTTGTATTTAAAATATGATTTATAGTATAAAGAAATATTATTTCGTCTATAAATTTATGTTTTACCATGATAAATATGTTTAGTACGAGAGATACTTTCACCCTGAAACTACAGTTGTGGCGAGTATGTACGCACCTGTTACTTTTTCACCATGTCCAATTCTTTGTTATGTCGAGAGTAAAAGTGGCAAACTTGTATGTATATTATTTTACAGTGTTATTAGTATTGTATTACAGTTGTACTATACGAGAATGAGATATAATGTGCTGCTATCAAGTTCAAATGACATTGTCATTTTAGGAATTAATTGCAACTGGTAGCGTGTTATCTTGTGATCCCAACAGAATTGTCTTAAAACGAGTAATTTTGAGTGGTCACCCGTACAAAGTAAATAAGAGATCAGTGGTTATACGCTTTATGTTCTTTCACCGAGAGGATATCGAATGGTTTAAACCAGTCCAAATGAGGACAAAATATGGACGTAGAGGCCACATAAAAGAACCTCTAGGTAAATGATTAATTGAGTATCAAGCAATTGCATCTTATATTATTTGCTGCATTTATATTTACTAATCTAATTTATATATTTATATACACTTCCGATTTTGTTATAGGTACACATGGGCATATGAAGTGCATCTTCAATGGTCAACTAAAGTCTCAAGATACAGTGTTGATGAATTTGTATAAACGAGTTTTTCCAAAGTGGACTTATGAACTTATAAACCAATAAAAATAAAAATAACTTGGTCTTATTCAACTTTGAAATAGTTTATAAATTTACTCTACATTCTGTTAGCGAAAAAATATAGATTTATAAAACCGGTTTTAAGAGGATATATATATAAACGTTAAGAATGTCATTTTTTACGCTAGTGTTACTAGTTTGAAAAATAAAGCGATTAATGTCGTCAGTTGTGTTCCAGTGTGCTTTGCGTATTTGAAAATTGCTTAGAAAAATGGCGTTCGCTTCACTGAATAGAATCGAGCATGCGCGACTCCCATGAGCCGCGTCCTCAATCTGGTAACACTGTGCCCTTTCACCCCCACCTTTCCATCTCAACCATCAGTAACACCAGTGTTCATAACAATGATTGCCGGTTATATTTTAGGTTAAATCACTCTTGTGATCTTTCTATCCTAATAGTTTATAAACTCTCTAGCGGAGTAAAAATGGACAATAAAATAACGATATGCGACCCTGACGAGGAGGAAGTAGAAAATGATATATTGCGTGATATCGAACCGGTTATGTGGATCAATGACGATCCAAACTATGATTTGGACGAGGTTAACATGTTTTTTCACAGAGTTGACTCGGATCAAATTATATACGAAGAAAAAAGAAAAAAATGTAAATTTATCGGTAAATATGTCATGGGTGATGTTCTCGGTGAAGGTAGTTATGGGAAGGTGAAAGAAGTACTGGATTCGCAGACGCTTTGTCGCAGAGCGGTTAAAATACTGAAGAAAAGAAAACTTCGAAGGATACCGAACGGGGAACAGAACGTTCAACGGTGCGTACGACAAATGTATTTTTTATAAACGTTATTATATCGGTATGCGCGTTATACCGTGGATAAATTTTTTATCGCTACGCGTACAAATATCGACAAGATAGCTTTTTTGTTGCGATATCTTTCCTTGCATTTCTTGTGTTTATTTTAATAATTGATATTTTACAGGGAAATAAAATTGTTAAGAATATTAAAACATAAAAATGTAATAAATCTCGTAGACGTTTTATACAGTGACGAAAAAGAAAAGATGTATCTAGTTATGGAATTTTGTGTATGTGGATTACAGGTAAATTTTCATGCGAGTATCGTTTTTTATTACTCTAAATTATTAGATATACAACGCAAGTTTGGATATATATTTTATGAGTTGTAAAATTCAGGAGGTAATATCGATTTAGCATTTATATAAAGTAATTGTTTATTCTACTTTAGTTATCAGCATCGGAAGAAACATGGATTTATTTCAGGTTACACATTGTATCTGCTGTATGCTTTTGTGTCAGTCCATCCCATAAATCTTGAGTTTTACATATTGATTATTATTTTCAATGATAGAGAGCTTAAAAAAACATTGCAAATTGTATGTGCTTTCATATTTTTTTTTATCACATTTAATTAGGATTTTATACTTTTTATATTTGATTCATATAATTATATGCAAGTATCTCGAGAGAAAGTTATACTTTGTACAACATAATACAAGAAAACTGCTTAATTTCATATTGAATTTTACACTGATTTTAAAAACTAAATGAATGTTGTATGACTCGAACAATATGACGCTAATACTAATGATTATAATTAATTAATTACAAATATATTTTACATTTTTATCTTAAATGGTATATTTTAAAACCAATCAAATTGCAAGCGAATAATTTATAATAATATCCAAGTTTTTATTACAAATATTTTGTGTGATAATAATTATGCTGTTTCAAAAACACAACAAAATTTTAATGACAAGAAGGAAAATTTTATTAAATCTTAAACCATATTAAACTTTTCGATTTTGACATCTGTAACAATGGCTTGCATGAATTAACAACAATTAGATTTCTATTTATTAGATTCTTTACAGGACATGTTGGAAAGCACGCCCACCAAGAAGCTTCCACTTTGGCAGGCACATGATTACTTCTGTCAATTGTTGGATGGTTTAGAATATCTTTATAGTAAGGGAATAGTCCACAAAGATATTAAACCTGGAAATTTGTTATTAACCCTAGATGATACCTTGAAGATTAGTGATTTTGGTGTTGCAGAGGTATAAACTCCATATCTTTTTATCCAACTTTTTATTTTATTCAAACTTTTTTTATTAATTTAATTATAAAAACCGATAATTATAATAATGAAAAAAATATTGATGAACAGAGTATATTTATTTAGAAAAATGTTAAAAATACAAATACAAACATACATTGCAACTGTGTGTGTTTCATTTCTATTTGTGATTATGCTTGTTCACTGTACTAGGCATTAGACATGTTTTCCAAAGACGATACATGTACGATAGGTCAAGGATCCCCAGCATTTCAGCCACCAGAAATCGCAAATGGCTGCGAAAGTTTCTCAGGTTTTAAAGTAGACATATGGAGTAGCGGAGTTACATTGTAAGTAACACTTGTACATGGTATTATCCAAAGATCAGAATGGTGTATCTATATTTTACAGGTATAATATAACTACGGGTTTATATCCTTTCGAAGGAGATAACATATATAAATTATACGAAAACATTGGAAGGGGTGAATATACTGTACCGAAAGAAGTAGAGGAGCCTTTAAAATCGCTCATAGAAGGAATGTTGCAGAAAGATGCAGATAAGAGATTTACATTACAACAGGTAAAAAGACACGCGTGGACCATGTGTGAGCACCCTAAAACACAACAACAAGTACCTATACCTCCCCTTAAAAGCAATGGCTGCCACAGCATGACAGTCTTGCCATACTTGATGGAGTATCATTACGGAGTCGATGAAAATCCCATATACTATACGGAACATCAACTGAATGGTAGGTTTATTACATTTGCTGATAATATGAATATTTTTCCTTTTCAAAAATAAACTCGTTTAAGAAATTATTTTCCAGTGACGGCAACAATGCATAATTTCAGCATCAATGAACTATCTTTTTATGAAACACATAGAAAATTTCATAAAAATTTTCTATTTTTTTTTTAGAAGAGCGAAGGCTTCAAGAACTGGATCGCATTAGCGAAGATCGTAAAACCACGTGTAACAGTCATCACACCAAATGCAATACGAACAGTCAAAACAAACGGAGATGGCGTAAGCCGATTTCATGCATTAGTATTAAAAGATTTCCATCCTGCAAGCCATCGTGATTTTGTTAATTGTGTCGCATATTTTGTTTGTATCTCACTGACTGTGTCAGTTATAAAGTTTCTCTGATGGAGATGACTGAAAGCTTAAAGAATGGAAAGCATGCGAGACACATATGTAATGTAGTTAATCTAGCAGCGTGAATGGGACACAAAGCATTTGACAGAGTCAGTTCAAAAGTGTCGGATGTAAAGATTGTGATATTAAGATTAAATCGTGTAGCGAATAATTCAGTGACATCTTTATTGATCGTTCAATGCCTAGGAGATGCCCAATCAAAGTCACATTTCATTTTGGTGCCATATTGACAACACGATTAATAAAGTTATTAATCGTCTGTGTTTAGCATTTTATTTACCATAAGATCTCCTCATCAATTGTACCTTTGTCTTTAAGTAAGGCCTAATAAATCTAACGTTTATGATGAGACCAACTGGACGATTGAACGTATGTATACAATATGTACAAATGTACGATATTTTGACTTGTCATTCTATTTAAGAGCATTACATTAGAAAAGTTGAATGAATTAATTATTGAAGCGATAGCACAAGTGATTCTTTTAAAACGTTTATAATTTAATTTCCATTTGTTGAAAATGTCTACGTGTTTCTATTTTACAGATACCATCTATGAGATACTATTAAAGACGGCCAGTCTTATGTAAGTTTGCACTGTTAAAATTTAAGTAATTAAAAGTAAGAAATTGATAATAAAGTACTAATTTTATGATTTATTAGTTTCATAGATATGTATATATCAGTGTTTAAAACTCAATATATGTATATAAAATACTCGATTTTTATTTAAAACTGTGATTTTAATGTTATCATCCGAGTTTGATTATCAATAGAGATAATAACTGTAAAGAAAACAATTATAATTTTGCAACAATATATGTAAGATATAGCATTATAAGTATGCATACTTATTTATGGAGTACTTAAAAAAAATACGATAAAAAAATCATAAATTAAAATTAACAATACATACAAATATTTATTAGCCGCGGTCAGATTCACGCTCACAACGCTTAAAAATCATTTCATCCTTGTTTGTCAAATGTTAAACGACGACAAACGATGCTCATGAGCATTGTCAGCATGAATCGGACCACGGCTATTATTATGATTGCAATTTATCAATTGTCGATAATATTAGCGTTCTTCAATTACCTCTGGAATCTCGAGGCTTTTTTTTGTATGGACGAAAATTATTTGCTTAGCATTGATAGTTTTCAACAGTAGTATGTTTTTATTAAAAACTGAAATTTTAATATTATCGTCAGAGTTTGATTAGGGATTGCCAGATTAGGCAGAATAAATTTTATTAGCTAAAGGAGCATTTATTCTGGCAGTAATCATATGCCATAATCTGTAAGAATTGATCAATCACAATCGAATATTCCTCTCTTACAGTCAAATGAGAAGGGAATATTCGAATCTGTGATTGATCAATTCTTACAGATTATACGGTTATGACCAATCAATATAAATGCTCTTTAAGGGTATATCCACACAACTTGCATAGCCGCATAAACGTATGCATAAAGAAAATTATCCAATTTC